TTGGTAAATAACAACATTTGCAGTAAACTAGAGGCGACACTCTATAATCTCTCAAAAGCTGTCCCTTTAAATTGCTTCTACAAACGAGCGGGAAATTTAAATCGAGCAAATCTACTTTCACGTCAATCTCCAATAATTTGGAATATATTTGTAATAAATTTTCTGTATATTACTAATATTGTCCTTCGAGGTATTTTATCAATTTTACGGCGCTGAAAAGTTGAAAAGAAAAGAATATACCAAAATGATTGCTCTACAAAATATATTTGAAGAATATGTATTACGGAAATGATTATTACGAATAACTTGTAAGAAAATGAAAAACTATATATCACAAGAAATTACGGATGAATGTGTTACAGAGATGTGACAAAATATTTATTACAAATAAATTACTGGTGAATATGCGGGTTTGAACTATTCTTTTCGACCGCCATACTTCTACACTGTGCACATGCGCATCATTCTTTTGATTTGGGCATTTGTCCTCTCTCTAGGTTTCCTTGTCTAGTGTCGCCTTTTGTTATATGTACTCCTCAAAATATACGCACTTCGTATCCGTTATTAATGATAGAGATGGTAAATCGACGTCCACTTAATTAAACGAAGCAAGAATAAAAAATGAGCGGAACAGAAATTTGCAATTAAATCGGCCAACGATATTAATAAACATTCCGCATTATCAGTTGTTTCGTAGTCAATAGACATTTTGCAAGTAGTTTATCAGAAACATTCGAATTTATCTCGATGCCCTCGAGTATTTTACATACTTGACCCGATTGTTGACCTAACTCGATGTTTTCACCTCGTAGAAACTATATTTCTGCACTATCCTTCAATAAACAATAATATTGAAATCAAAGCAAACTTTGTACGGAGTAAGAAAGTTACATCTCGGAAAATATCTAATAGTCGCAAAAAATCTTGGAAATCCGAAATATGTAAACTTCGGATCAAACTGTATCCACTCTGTTGTTTCAAGTGGTAAGTATCGATGATCTCTCGAAACAGAACCAGCCGTTCAAATATTTATCCACTTTATTTTTGCTTTATTCCGAACACTGTTCGCGATAGTCGTTTAGAAATCGCACATCTTCGTAAAAATAGGCGAAACGGTGTTGAAATAACACGTAGTTTCGATGTAGCGAAATAACATTAAGTCAGCTGTTCACCTTTTACTTCGTACAAAAGATAGGTGGTCCAGCGTGTGTGGCATTATGCATTTATTTCAACTTTCAAGTTTCCAATTTTTGCAAGTTTAAAGCTGTAGAAGTTTTTTTATTTTTGAGTTCTTGGATTTTCAAATTTTCACATTTATGAATTACCGAATTTGCAGATATTAAACTTTTGTCATTTCTGTATTTTTCAATCGTGGAATTTTCAAGTTTATAAATCTTTAATTTCAACAATTTTTGAACTTTCGAATTGTGGGAGCAGATCCGCCATTGTAACGCACGAAGGTCCGCGAAGATGTGCGAAGACGCACGAAGACTGGAATCTGTCAATCGTCAAATTCTAAAATTTGCAATTTACCGAATTATCAACGCCTGGAATTTCCAAATCTCTCAATCGTCAAATCTTCAAATTATCAAATCTCCAAATCCCTACTTCTGGAATTTCTAAATCTTCCAATCCTCAAATTTACAAATTTCTAAACTTCCAAATTACGATAGCATCGCCATCATAGCGCGCGAAGGTACGCGAAGATCCGCGAAGACGCGCGAAGACTGGAATCTGTCAATCGTCAAATTCTAAAATTTACAATTTACCAAATTATTAACTCCTGGAATTTCCAAATCTTTCAATCGTCAGAGCTTCAAATTATCAAATCTCCAAATCCCTACTTCTGGAATTTCTAAATCTTCCAATCCTCAAATTTACAAATTTCTAAACTTCCGAATTACGATAGCTCCGTCATCATAGCGCACGAAGGTACGCGAAGATCCGCGAAGACGCGCGAAGACTGGAATCTGTCAATCGCCAAATTCTAAAATTTACAATTTACCAAATTATCAACTCCTGAAATTTCCAAATCTCTCAATCGTCAAATCTTCAAATTATCAAATCTCCAAATCTCTACTTCTAAAATTTCCAAATCTCTCAATCCTCCAATCCTCAAATTTCCAAATTTCTAAACTTCCGAATTACAGTAGCAGCTCCACCATTGTAACTCACGAAGATCCACGAACATCCACGAAGACGCACGAAGACTAAAATCTGTCAATCGTCAATTTCTGAAATTTCCAAATTATCAAATTCCCAACTTCTGGAATTTCCAAATCTCTCAATCATTAAATCTCCAAATCCCTACTTCTGGAATTTTCAAATCCCCCAATCCTCAACTTTCCAAATTTCTAAACTTCCGAATTACGATAGCACCGTCATCACAGCGCGCGAAGATCCGAAGACGCACGAAGTCTACCGAACGCTCCGAAGCGCACCCGCGGCCCTGCATAACTCGAACTTCCACTTAAAATAGAAAATTATTTACCTATTACCATCAACAAAATATAATTGTAAAACTGTCTTCCTCGTAAACTGAGTTACATGCACTTTTAGATATGCGATGTCAAAGAAACAGCAAGTAATCGTGTTTAAATTATTTCGCATCTGGAATTAATTTAAATTCAACTTACATTTATTACTTACGACCTTTTTTTTATGTATGCACGGCGAACGTGCATAATTCTTAAGATACATATTGTAGTTGCAGCTATTTGAATAAAATATTATTAACTCGTTGCTAAACTGCATACATTACTGGAATTTCTGAAACACGAACATTGTAAATCTGTACACACATTCCTTTTTCTATCTCAATTTTTTTTTATAAAAATATATTTTGTTAAGCTGTGACATTTTTGAAAATGTTTCACGATAGAAGAAATCATAAAATCGTGAAAAATTTCTAACCAAACGTGACGTTTTATAAAGTTAGTTAGTCTGTGAACATAAGCTGTAACATTACTGAAAAATTTTCACGATAGAAGAAAGCTTAAAGTCGTGAAAATTTTTTGACCAAACGCGACGTATTTTTGTGACGTTTCATAAATGTTCAGGGAATTAATATTTATTCCAAAAAGCTTTTCAATACCTCCGTAAATACGGAAGCATTTGCATAAATGTATACATTTAAATTTAAATGGTATATCGTACATTTGAATTGTTTGTTAAAGTAATTTTCAGTTAGTAACAATAAAACTGAAACTCTCTGCAATTTCCAGAGACTCGTAATTTGAGAAACGTTATGTAATATTTGGGAGAACAAACTCGAAAAGCCGTGCTATAAAACGATCGAAATGGTCAGAATGTCGTAAATAATGCCGAAGATAAAAAGAGTGAAGAATTTTATGATGCTATCGGTATTTTCAGACAAATTCGTGCTGAAGTGTTTACGCGTCTTTAAACGCTGCTTTGCAAACGTTCAGGATGAGAATTTGTTTGGATAAATTTGAATTTCTGAAATTTGCAAATCGCGAGGCTGAGCGTTGTTTAGTTAGCAATTTTAAAAAATATCGTAATTAGATTCGGAGTTATGAGACTCGAAATTATGACAAGATACGACCGATGGTAGGCTCACAAATTGTACTTGAAACTGCAGCATTCAATAAATGTCTCCTTACCTCGCCATTATGCAAAAATATGCAAAATGCAAATGACGATAACTCAGAACGATCGTATCTCAAAACGTCAATTTCCCGATAATTTCCAACACGAAAACGCGTACGAAGAATAACGCTTTCGTAAGAATTACCTAATTGAGGACGTGAAAATTCGACGGTTCTAAATTATATTTGTTCAGGAAAATGTCCGAGAAGACAACAAAGACTACGATGCGCGTGCTGGTGTGCGTGATTGATAAAGAGCTCATTTATCAGTAGGCTTATTACCAGCAGAAGTTTCGTAAAGAAAACACGCTAGGAAAGAGATCGACGTATCGCTGTTCTTTATCTCTGAAATATCATTATTTATACGTCTCTGAGCGATAAGGAAATGATTCTTGTTCTCGAAACGAGATTTCGGATAGTGTCCCGTTTATCCTGTTAGTTTCATAGTATGTTTATTGCCGAGATCAAACTGAATTAATATTGAACGTAGCTTTATCTCAACTGAGGATGATTCTTGTTAAAACTTACGATTATCCGAAATTTCCAGGGGAATAGATAAAACTCATTTTTCGCTCTCGTTTTGGGAGATACGTATCGGATTGACGTTGATATATATCGGCGAATAAATCTGCTCGATATCTATTTGTAATTAGGAGGTTTTTAATTTGTTATACTCTTGAGTTTTTAGCGAATTTTTAGATTAAATAAAATTTCTCTGGGAGAGATTTGGGAGAGATGGAGAAATTTAAGGGAGGTTTAAAGGAAATTTAAGAGAAGTTTGCAATTGGAGGTATTTTTGTTCTTGGCAGACCAAGTCTTGAAACTTTTTAGCTGATAAGTTCAATAAATTCTTCTGAAGCTATCTTCCTAATATTAATTATTACTATTGTCTACGTTATACTCATAACATTATAGATTTAAGTAAAAAATACCTACACCAAATTGTATTAGAAGGTTCTTCATTTGTTATGCTCTTGAGTTTCTACCGAATTTTTAGATTAAATGAAATTTTACTGGGAGAAATCTGGGAGAGGTGGAGAAATTTAAGGGAAGTTTTAGAGAAGTTTGCAATTAAAGGTATTTCTGTTCTTGGCAGACCAAGTCTTGAAACTTTTTAGCTGATAAGTTCGATAAATTCTTCTGAAGCTATCTTCCTAATATTAATTATTACTATTGTCTACGTTATATTCATAACATTATAGATTTAAGTAAAAAATACCTACAATATCTATAAAAAATATCTACAATTGTACTAAGTAGAATGCAGCCTTTCGAGTGCAAAGAGTCGCCTTATCACCTCAAGACACAACTCCTAAACCTACTCGAACAAAATGTCCACTCCAATAAAATCTCTCATACAAAACTAAGTAAATTATATTCTTCCTGTTATAGATGCCGATCTGAGCATGGGTGCAGGCGCAGCGGGGGGTTCGGTCCTCGGTCTGCCAGGATCGGGTGTGGGTGGCGTGCTCTCCCAACACTGCGCCATTTGTGGAGACCGCGCCACTGGAAAACACTATGGCGCCGCTTCCTGTGATGGATGCAAGGGTTTCTTTCGACGGTCGGTCAGGAAAAACCATCTTTATACTTGCAGGTTGGTTTGGTTTCCTATATCCTTAGTTCTATTGTTCCATGGAAGCTTGTATGTCCAAATCCACATCTTCACATGCTTATACCTAAGTCTTTCTTTAAGTCTATATTCTTAGAACCATCTCTAGATGTTCATGGGTAGATATCTTAATATTCTCAGGTAGTCTAAGTCTCTAGACTTGTCTACTCCACATCCACATACTAGACTTGTATCCTAAAGGGGTCTATTATAGGCACATCCCTACATTACATCTCCACATGCTTATACCTAGGTCTTTCTTTAAGTCTATATTCCTAGACCCATCTCTAGATGTTTATGGATAGAAACCTTAATATTCTCAGGTAGTCTACATCTCTAGAGTAGTCTACTCCACATCCACATACTGGACTTGTATCCGAAAGGGGTCTATCCTATATCCTTAGTTCTATTGTTCCATGGAAGCTTGTATGTCCAAATCTGCATCTCCACATGCTTATACCTAGGTCTTTCTTTAAGTCTATATTCTTAGAACCATCTCTAGATGTTTATGGATAGAAACCTTAATATTCTCAGGTAGTCTAAGTCTCTAGACTAGTCTACTCCACATCCACATACTGGGCTTGTATCCTAAAGGGGTCTATTATAGGCACATCCCTACATTGCATCTCCACATGCTTATACCTAGGTCTTTCTTTAAGTCTATATTCCTAGACCCATCTCTAGATGTTTATGGATAGAAACCTTAATATTCTCAGGTAGTCTAAATCTCTAGACTAGTCTACTCCACATCCACATACTCGACTTGTATTCTAAAATCTATGTATTATAGACACATCCCTTACTACTACTTATAACCCTAACAATTTTATTCCACACTTCCTCAATAAACTAAAAAAGAAACTTATTCAACCACAAATATTCTGTTACAGATTTAGTAGAAACTGCGTAGTGGACAAAGACAAAAGAAACCAGTGCAGGTACTGCAGATTAAGAAAATGCTTCAAAGCCGGCATGAAGAAGGAAGGTGAGGATCTTCATATTGTTTCCCCGGCGATTAATCGGTGATTCAATGCAAACTTAGCAACCGCAGCGCATAAGAATTGAAATAAAAGAGAGAATAACGAAAGTGAATCAACCTATAAGTCATCGCGACGAAAACATTACTGTATAATGATCTTTCTTCTGCTTTCGATTTTTACGCAGCCGTACAGAACGAAAGGGACCGGATAAGTTGTAGAAGGCCGAGCTACGAGGAGCAGACGAACAACGGAAGCGGACTCTCGGTTGTTTCCCTTTTGCAGGCTGAAATGCTCAGCAGGCAAGTTGGCGCCGCTCTCGAGGTCAGTTTAAATTCATTTTGTTGAAGAACAAGAGGAATTCTGAGACCCAAACTGAGTAGCAGATGTTGAAATCTGGAAATCTGAAATCATAAAGATATAATATTGTAGAGATAGATGTAGGGACATTATACTGGACATACATAGAATTTTTCAAACTTAGGTATGTAAATTTATGGTTCGCTTTGTGTATTCGTTTAATGAAGCGAATTTAATGGCAGCAATAATTACGAGACGAAGAATTAATGAGGACCCTGAGAATAATACCAAGGTTCTTAATGTAAATGCCAAGCCGGACAGACATCCGGTCATTTTCTTGGGGAATGAATTGTAATTTTCTACCTTAAACGAAGTCAAAAATATTTAAATTCGAGCATACGCAAGCAGTACGTTAATTCTTACTATAACTATCTCCAGTTCATAGAATTAATGCCTTTGAAATGGTATAATTTCTTAACCAGCGAAATTTGAATACAGTTCCTAAATCACAGAAGCTGTCTCAAAAGTCCTAATGTCCTATCCTCCTATCCTATATCCTCAACATAATTATTTAATAGCCGTAAATATGTTGGCTAATTCCGTTTTCTGTTTCAACAGCTAGGCAGTCCGGGTAACGATATCGACCTGAGCACCAAGCAGATCGCCAACATAAACGACGTCTGCGACAGCATGAAGCAGCAACTTCTGATCCTGGTCGAATGGGCCAAGTACATACCCGCGTTCAGCGAGTTAACTCTGGACGATCAGGTCGCCCTCCTAAGGGCACACGCTGGAGAACACCTTCTCCTGGGTGTCGCCAGGCGCAGCATGCAACTGAAGGACGTTCTTCTTCTGGGTAACAACTGCATCATCACTAAGAACTGTCCTGGTACGCTATTCTGAACTTCATTCAATATTTAGGTGCTGGTTTAACGTCTGTTTGTTCCGATTAATTCCTTGATAACGGATATTAATATCTCTGTGACTTTCATCGTTCTTTGTGTATTAATTAAATCCGTTATCGAGGCATTGGATAGTTTTCGAATCGTTTAAATACTAACCGACATTGTTAGCACTGAGACTAATATTCATCTAACACTGCATCTTTTGACACATGTTTTAGGATTAAATAAGATAAAAGTTGCAGTAAAAGTAATAGTCATAATAATAGCCAAGTTATGACAGTAATATTGTAAAGATTTATAACAGTAATTATAGTAGAGTATAACATAGCAACAGCAATAATAATATTCATTATCTTGAGCAGAATTCAAGAATAAGGATTTATCTCGATCACCTTGAACGTTTCTGTCGCATTCAATGACACGATAAATTGTTTTCAGACCCAGCAAGCGATTAGGCTTAGATGAACTAATTTCAAAGAAGAATCGAAGGACGACCGAATGTTTAGTCTTCCTTATTCTTACATTCTGTTTGAATGAACGTCAAATTCTGAGGAAGCGAAAAAACAATTACTCTTTATCCTTATCGGCGATTATCGCGTCAAAATATTTTTCTGATAGATAGGGTCGAATGAAACAGCTGAAAGTATTACCGGCGCAATAAAGATTACATCGTATTACTTCATCTCTCGATGTCATCGACAGATAAGATTGCAACGAAAATCGCGAACCGAATGTTCTCTTACTAAATTCGGTACAACGTTTCTATAAATATATTTTATTAGACGTTTTGCTTGTAGGTCTGACATAATTGTTAGGGAAGTGGGTGAGTAAATAACACTGCATGCAAGTTCATTAAAAACTTGACTAACACTGTGTCTCCTTTATTAATTTGGCTATTTCGTGATGAACTACTCTACGAATATTAAGTACGTAACGAGAGTTCGGTTTTAAATTAATGTGCGTCACCGACTGACGTCTATGCAGAAACAGAAGTTTCTCCACGTTATGTTAATTAGTAGAGAACCGATAATCTCGTTATAAGAATTGCATGATCGCATATTGGGGAGTAGCTAGTAGACTGAGTCCGGCCTTCACGTCGCAATCGCAGTAGCATGACTGCAAACGGGATTCGACTTGGTTATTGGTCCTCCATGCTTTTAATACTTCACACTGTATCCGGGCTCAGTCGATTGGTAACAGAAGCCGATAGGAACAGTTTAACCGTGGTTATCAGTCATATCTTTGTCCACAGAGGGCCGCAACCAGGACCTGGACATCAGCAAGGTCGGCATCAGGGTAATGGACGAGCTGGTGAAGCCTTTGAACGAAGTGCAAATCGACGACACGGAATTCGCTTGTTTGAAAGCCATTGTCTTTTTCGACCCCAGTAAGTATCGCCATTTCGGGGCGTATGATCGACCGAAGATGACGTAGAATTTGCGTGTCATTCGGCCAAGATTTGCCGGCACGCGAGAACGATTGTCTCAATGAGATTTAATTGATCATCGGCGCGGTCATCGCCGTCACGCTGAAACAAATTGCAAACAATCACAGGCTTGCTCTGCTTTTTCATCTCATCTTAACTCACGCATTCTTAATATCATCGTTTAAATTTGCAAAAACCCTACATTCGTTTCGTTAAAACAGTATCCTCTGTTAACAGATGCGAAGGGCTTAAGCGAACCACAGCGAATCAAGCAACTGCGCTACCAGATCCAGATTAATTTGGAAGATTATATCAGCGATCGACAGTACGATAGTCGTGGTCGATTCGGCGAGATACTTTTGACTTTACCAGCTCTGCAATCGATCTCCTGGCAAATGATAGAACAGATACAGTTTGTGAGGCTGTTCGGAGTTGCACATATTGATAATTTGCTGCAGGAGATGCTGCTGGGTGGTGCGACGGCAGAAATAAATGGTGCTACGACACCTATACCGATCTCAAACGCACCGGAAAGTTACGTGAGCAGCAACGAAAGTCCTAGCAGTCCTTTAACGCCGGCCAATGCACCGCCGTTGAGTCCTCAAGATCACATGCTGACTGGCGGAAGTCCTGTTATGATTCTGAGGGATCTTACGCCTATACAGGGCCAAGAAGATGTGACTAGTGTAACTGGATTTAGAATGTTCAAGCAAGAACCCAGTCTCGAAAGTGAATCCACCTTTTAAGGATATTTGGACGAGTGGGAAACAGTGGAAAGATTCTGCAACGCTGATCAGTTAAACTTATAATTTGATACAAAACTGGGAGATTTTTAAGGAACCTTCAAAATGTAAAAGAGCTAGGAAGTAGCTTAACCTAACCTATGCAGCAGCATTGTAGATTCCAGGGTCACAATCCTCTTAAATTTTCTAATTGTAAAACTTATGGTGTTAAAGATTGCAAAAGGCTTTCGATTACACGAAGATTACTGTTAAGAAATGTACAAGACTTTCACTTATGTGCCACGAGAGAATCAGGATCTTTAGATAACGATTTGTAATTGTTGAATTAAGAATCCGAATTTTAACGATATGTTAAAATACGTTTTGAAAAAATGGAAAGACTCTGAATGTCAGAAGTAGCGAAGATTGAATCATTTCAAAATGTCGAGATTCTTAAGAGCCGAATCGAAGAATTCGCGGTTGGTTAAAATGCTTTATGCAACGACAGATGCAAAATAATCATACAAGATCTTATAAGATCCCAAAGTAAGAATGAGTTCTTTTAATACATTTAGACATTTGTGACAAGAAACTGACTTTAGCGATCTCTTACGATATTCTAAGCAGTTTTTAAATAATAACTTTCATTAAAATATTTATAAATTAAACTCCTTTTTTATTTGTAAATTTTTACAAGCATATTTCGGTTATTTTTTAAGATTTCTTAAAAAATAGCTTCCAAACATTTCTTGCATATTCAAAATATATGCTTGAATTTGATATGTTAAAATTATAAAACGCAATACGAAATTTCGAATTTCTGGTTAAAAATCATGCTCAATCAATTGCTCAATTAATTCTTAATTACCTTAATCATAAGGTTCAATCAAAATCGGTCGATTAAGTGACATTGTCACTAAAAAGTCAACTTAACTATGTTAATGTTCTACTTTTCTGTGTAACATATATTCAGCAATAATACTTTCACGCAAACATGAAATCATTGATAAGAAATTTTATAAAAATCAAAGGAGCAATCTTTTGACGATTTTTTAAACTCATCGCTTTCATATGAATTATATTTTCTATCGTAACATATTTAATAAACATACAACGTTTCCTATTTTAATATTCATCTTTGTCAAGAATACATTTTAATTCGATTTAGTTTTATACGATCGCAATAAAATATAAACGACCGACCTCTGAATATAATAATAATATTAAGTAAGTTTAATTGTTACGTTTCTAAGATATAAGTAAAGTGTTATTTATACAAAGGGTTTATTAATTATTTATAATATATATTTCTACAGAGAATATTTTTGTTAATGCAATAAATATTTTGTTATCCCTACTATACTGTATATGCATTGTATGCATTATACATACAAAACAAGTAATAATTATAATAATGAAATATTTTTTTAGCTGCCTTTATAAATTAAAGATACTTTAAATATTCCAAATAGCCGATGTGCAATATCAAGCACTTTCCAATCATTTCAGCAAATATTCATCTGAATAAACATGTTTTTAATTAAATGCTGTATATAGTATTTTTAAGCATAAGTTATATTTAATGAACATTGATTTTTTACAAGCAGTTTATTTACTATTCTCAAACAGTACAAAAAAATATTTACATTTAGTTTGCAACAATAGTTAACACAACATTGCATTATTCTTTACTGTTTTCAACTATGCTTACTCATTTGCAGAAATACTTATATTCTTGTCTAAAAAGTAGTACATGAAAGTTACCGTGTATATTTGCTGATTTTAAAATACTAGTCGTCTACAAATTTTTGCTTGCACATATAGTAGCAAATATATACATACGAATGTTTATTGAAATGAAAGAAAGTTAAAATGAGGCTCCAAAATTTATTTTTTAAAAAGTACAGAACATTTTGGAATATTTTTTTAGTATGAACTGAAAAGAAAATGCATAATATCATAGAGGACATCACCAAATCATCCACTTAAAAAAATACACAAAAAATTTTTGCAAAGTTTCATGTTATTCACTACAACAGTTTTGTGCTATATATGCACCGGATGACATTCCATGTAAAAAATCAAAAATCGTTAGAAAATAATTAACGCCTCTCTCTACAAAGAGAGGAGCACACGCCATTGCAATGCAATTTTTTTTTAAGGAAAGGAGTATACATACTTTTGTTAATTTCTTATACATTTGGAGTACAATTTGTTTATTTTTTCTATCTGAAATACTGCATTAGAACAGAGATAAATAAAGAAATATTCATACTAATATTTTATATGCACTTTCATTATTAAAATACTTTTTACAAAGTTTCAATATAAGATGTAATTCAATTAAACAAATTGCTAGTTCCAAATGTTTATAGCAACTTCTGTTAAATATTAAATCTATGAATGGATAGCAAGAAGTAGGATAAGATTTTAAGATAAAAATTTATATATTGTTAATAAGTAATGTGGAATTTAGTATATAAATATATAAATAATTTTTGATCTAGTATGCATGTGTGCATGCATGCAGAATGTAAATGAATTAGTGAAAGTGATAATATTATTAAAGAAACTAGTTAAATATATTAACAAACAAAGAAACTAGTTAAATAATAGGAGAACCTATAACAAGTTTCTGCACAATTTTTTCTTTTGATATTTATTTTGTACTATAATATAATTTTGCTGAATATAATACATTTTCATCTTGAGTTATGCTTAAAATAATTTACAATGCAACCAATATATAAAACAACATTTTAATGATGAAATTATCAATTTTCTTCATACAATTATCATATTTATATCATTGTTATCGCAGGTCTTAAAATTTTTAGTAGTTCTTTATACAGAATTTTAACTCCAAAAATTGTCATCACGAGTCTCATGATTTTTGCAACATTTATTGTTAGATTATTTCAACTTCATTATAGAATATTTTAACATAGATGTAAGGATCATAGTAAACCAATCATAAATTGTAATGAAATTGAAAAATTTTTATTAAAACTTATGTAACTAATTCCTTTATTTGTTCTATGTTTATTGTGTATAAGATTTAATATTTGAAAAATGATTATTTTTATATGGGTTGTGAGCTAAAAGTTACCAAGATAAACAATTCATTAATAAGTCAATTCATAGGTAAGCTTTTGTGACAAATCATTCACAACATATAAACATTATTTGAATTGTAAATAATTTTTTTTCCTTAATTGATTGTTATTTAGTTATAAGAAAATTTGTATTATACATATAATAAAGGCAGTAAACATCTAATTAGTCTCCTTAATTAAAAAATAACACTTTCTATATTTCACTATCAATTCACATATATTATAAATTATTTAAACTATCATTAAATTAGAAATCTATGTTATAAATTACTTGATCAAAATGTAAAACATTCCTCTTTAAGTCTTATATTTTATAAAATAAGAATACTACTGGAATTCATAATTTGCACGTTTCCTTTTTTTCAAATTTGCAGTAACTTCTGAAGGAAGTATACTATTGGTACCCATTTTTAGCCACTCTAAAAGCCTAACCTTAGCTTTCCTACCACTGAAAAATAGTTCTCTTTCGAGTCTAGGAAGTTGATTCCCTAATGTAGGGTCAGATATTGGATTTTGGGCCCAATCCATAACTAAACGAAAACGAGCTTTAAATGTCTGAAAAAAATATAACAAAATTTCTAACATTCTTAAATAAATGAGTTCAAGATTAAAAAACCCACTCTTTCACATAGTCTAATAAGTTCATCAATTTTTTACCTGTAATAAACTATCCGTGATTTGTTCAGAATCTCTGTCATTTAATTTCCGTACATGCATTCCTAATTCATAAAAGAATGGGTTCCACTTGCTTAAAACAACAGCATCAGCATCCGCTTTTAAGATTTCTCTAACAAAATATAATTAAACATAAATGAATTTACTACGTGAAAAATTATTGTGAAAAAATATGAATATTTATGTACCAGAAAGGCCAAGGTGTGAACAATGATTTAATTAATAAGATTAAAAAAATATAAAAAATCAAACCTATATCCTTCCTTGTATATTTTTGGTATATCAACGCTAACTACAGGATTTCTTAAATTTTTCAATGACACTGCTAACCATAATGGAAACTCCACTTTTGATGCTACTTTTAAATTTTCAGATTGGGATGAGGAATCCAAACAACCTTAAAAACGCAGATTGCACATACCTTAAGTAAACTGATACTTATACAATTCGTAAATATTAGTAATAACTACAAAATAAAATAATGCATATTTCACATCATTTTGAAATAAAATATTACCTAATCCAGGTAACTCAACTTCAATCGTGCATGTTAATCGTTCTTCAGTACACAAAATATCATTTATAGCAAAATAGTTTGGCATGTAACTTTGACTGCAGGCCATTTTGTAACAATAACAAAATTTTAAACGGTCAACGTGCGATGTAATAAAACATTGATTTTATAAAACGCCGCTAGGTAGCGTGAAACAATTTTTTGAATTTTTGCATTACGTTACTGAAGAGCTTTTAAATTTTTATGCTATGTCGTAAGAAAGTTATAATCTTGCAACTTAAAATTTTGTATGGTGTATTGTTTATTTCTTTAGATAATAATAATTAATGCATTACATAATTGTATTCTCAGAATGTATGATAATCAGAATTACTTCATATTCATTGTACACAAAGTACTTAAGTAATAAAATTATTATTGAATTCTTCAGAAAATCAATTTCAAATAAACTGGATATCACTGGTCAAGTAAATTGGTTACTTCTGTTACCGTGAAACTAGCAACTTATCGATTTAACAAGAGAGATCCCCAGCCATTTTTGATGTAACGTTGAAGAATTCAAATTATTCGTGCAACGATTCGTAATTTTAGTTGATAAAAATGCAACGAGCAAGAAAAAAAAAGGGTAAAGGTAAAAGAGCGAAGAAAGTAAAAAAGAGGTGTTTAAACGAAAGGGAGACCTTGTCATACGAACAGGAAATATTAGAAAACAACAGACAGTTGGCACGGTGAGTACTACATGCGTATGTGTGCATGTGCGTACAAAAATGAAATAAATATTGCGAGTCGCGATATATCGATTAGTAGTGATCGATGGTGTAATTCGAATCTGAAGAAATGGGATTTCAGGGAGATCCTAAGAAGAGTTTAAAAACAAGTAATACCTAATTCTTGTAAATTCATTTTTCTTCTGTTAGATTGAGAAGTCGAAACGAAGAATTAGAAGAGCAAGCAGAAATTGCGAAGGAGAAACTCCGACAATTGGAAGAGGATCGCGCGGATGTGATAGCGTATCTGAAGAGAAATTTGGAAGAGAAGGGACTAGAAACGAAAGAGCACAATGAACGGCTCTCAATCTTGGAAGAACTACGAAAGGAGGAATTGGAAGCTTACAAGAAAAAGGAGGATGCAATGGAAATGGAATACCGTCTTATGGAGAGCAATTTGAGCGCCGAAGTTAAATTGACTGGTGTGTTATATCTTCTAAATCAACTTTCGAAAATTTCTTATTTTCTCGTGAATTCATCAATCTTGTATTATTGTTAGCCGGTAAATTAAATGCGCTAGAAGATTGGAGACTAGCACGTCTTGATTTGATGCAGAAATATGAAAAGCAGGAATTAGAAATGGCTGAGCAAGATAAGCGTCACAGAGAAACACTTTATGAAGCTGAGAAAAATGCTGTCATTGGGAAAGCATTGTATGTTGTACCTTGTTAAAACTTCAGATATATCACAATTCTTAGCCTTCTAATTATACTATTAGCAGTAGTAGTAGTTCATTCCCCTCACTGGAAATCATATGCATAATAGGATGCAGAAGGAAATGACTGAACGTTTACATGTTCTATCTGAAGAACTTCGCAAATCAACAACTCTACAAATGGCAGAAATCATGCATCGTGTGGTTCAGGAAAATGTGGCATTAAACAGAGAACTTGATAACATGTTGGAGATCAACAATGAACTTGAAAGTGTTAACATTGAATGCAAGAAAGCTGAAGAAACATTAAGACTGAAGAGTCAACTATTTGAAACTGAGTCAAAAATGACATTGAAAACAGTGTTGAAACAGAGAGACATTATTCACAAAATGGCCAATGTGAGACTAATATTTATGCTTACAATTATTTCAGTTTCTTAGAAAACTTTTTTTTATTAATAAAGAAGATGAATGATAGTACATGCTTTAGCTATGTCTTAAGTAAGTTCTGTCTTTAGGTTTATTATAAGATATATTGACAAGATTCTGTCTTTCTACATGCATAGCTGGAGTTAGTAAATGTAGGAAAATGTTGTAGGATTTTGAAGAATTGTTGCTGTATTATGCACAAGCAGAGAAGTACAATAAAAGATATTCTGAATTACAAAAGATTTTGGATAGTATTGTTGAACGAACTAAAGAGAAAGAAGATAAACAAATTCCAGCTCTCAAAAAAGAAATTTTAATAGCTCTGAATGATAAGCAAAAGTTGTTAGAAGAAGTTCAGGAAAAGGAAAAACAATTGAAAGCATTAAAGGGTATTATAAACCGTGTTAAAAGTCTTTTTGATGAAGCTTCACAAGTAAATATAAATGAATTGACTTACATGTTAATTATAATCAATTGCTAATCTTAATTTTAATTCATATTTTTACTTGTAAAATGGTACCTTTGCAGATTACACAAGATGCTATTAATAAAGAACAACTCATTGACTGTATAGGTGAAAAATTGTTACATTCTCTTAATGAAATATTACAAACTGAAAATCTTATTGATATAATAGAATACTCTCCATCGGAGGTACGTATTTAATGGACGAATTTAATTAATAAAAAGTCATATTAGCAGTAAGGAAAATGAGGAAAAAATTATGGATTGCAAGAATGATCTAATTTTATTTTATAGGTTGAAAACATTGATTGTCAATACAAAACAGGTTGCTTAGGACTTATTGAACCTTTAGATCCTTGTAGCTGCGATAAAAAAGACAAGGAAGAAAGCATTGAAGAGACAGTGTCACAAATGTCTCTGGAGGATTTGGAACAAAGGGTACCATCCTGTGTATTAAGTATTATTAGTTCCAGTATTGCATCCCCTAAAGAAGAAACTTAATTTATAAAAATGAAATGAGAACACAATTATTTATTGTATCATAATAAATTTAGAAATGTGGAAGTATTTCGAAAGCCTCATTCTAATTTTGGAAATTTACATTTAGTAGTATTTTCGGAATAAGCGCGCGTAAATATAACTCTTCAAAATTATCTAAGAATATAGCTTCTAGAGTACTGTTAACCCTTTTAATTAGTTGTTTTATTATTTAATTATAAATGAAAATAATTACTATGCTAATGTTGTTTATAAAATTATGTTTTTGGAACATAGAATATCCAGTAGATATAAAGAGTAAGGTTTTTGATTATGTTTGTACTTCCGATCGTGCAATATGAACAGAAATGGCATAATGATCTATCGTGTACGTTCTATGCGCTAATGTCATATTGAATCAGCAGTATTTATTTATTAATGAATTAATATACATGTAAGTACTTAAGTACTACAGTATAAATATATAAGTCTCCAGACATTTTCGGTACAAGTAAACAGGTTACTTAAAGTAACCATTAATTTAAATGGATTTTCTGTTCAATTCTTACTCTTGGTGCAGGTTATAAACAATCATTTCTTGAAGTAAAAAAGAATATTACTAAATAAAGAGAAAAAATAGACATGCCCCCTAAAAGAAATCAAGGAAGGTTGGTAAGGTTATTTGTATTATGTTCAAGTTTTTTGTTTAATTTGCAATAGTCCTTTGTATCAAATTTATGCAAATTTATGTTTATTACATGCATAATAATAATATTGACTTAGAGGCAAAAAGGTAAAAGAAAAGGAGAAAAAAGAAAGTAAAAAGGATGATCAATATCTTGAAGATATTATAGATATTGTAGAAAATGTTACAAAAGATTTTAATTTCTTGGTAAATGCTCCTGTTTCTGAAGATGATCATTTCGTTTTTGAATCAGAAAAAAAGTGGGATGTTGATGTTTCTAAATACTCAGAATATTTTACACTTGATTTAAACATGTTATCTGCAGCAATAGAATCAATACCATTCAATGAAAATGTTGATATTGACACAAAGTATTTTACTGTAAGTTTAAGAATATTTTTAAACTGATCTATCATATCTGTTTAAGTTTATATTATAATATTAATTATTTTAGAATGATCAGTTAACAAATATTTATAATATCGCAGAACAGGGTAAAGAGAAGTATAATAAAATTTTAAGCAATTTAGAAACACATGTTACAAGTGATTCAAAAAATGAAACTGGTCAGGGTTCTGTAGAAGACACAACTGAAGAGTTAGATTTTTTACTGTCGTTAGAAGAACCTGTGGATGAACCTTCAACTATTTTAAAATCTTTGCCTGGATCTTACAATGCTGGTATAAATAGATAGAATTTGTAATATAATCTTTACTTGAACATTTGTTTAGGGAATATTTTCTTGCAGATACCAAACTTGCAACTAAACCTAGTACCTCCACTAAGCCTATGGATTTAGAAAAGTGGTTGGATTCTGTGTTAGATGATTAAATCTAATTACCTTTATAATTGGTCACATTATTGCTAATAATAATGAATAAAAATTATTATAATTTTAGTTCATAAAATTATTTGCACAAGGAAAAGGTAACTTTAATAGATTCTATTTTTATACAAGTTTTCCAAATTATGTAAAAATGATTATTATATGCATTTCTTATAATTACTTATTTATCATATAAACTTGTTTAAAAGTAAAAAAGACTAATTAAACATACTATTAAATGTTGCAAATACAACTGGTGTATAATGCTAAGTTTAAAATTGAATCTCAAATGTTAGGAACATTATTCCTGTATAACTTTTCTGATAAAGTTAATAAAAAATGCATCATTTAGTCTATATGGTAGGCTAAAATTCGAACTAATCGCCAAAGTGCATAGTAAGATATACTTTCATTTTTTCGTATACTATAAGCATAATGGCACCACCTGGTCCTAATCGTAAAACTTTCGGTAATAACCCTTTATATAAAGCTTTAAATCTGAAATAAAAATAATTAAAAATTTTTAATATTACTAATTTGATTATTTAATACAAAAGTATTAATTATAGTCATGAAAATTATAAAATGTATAAATGTTGTTTCTTACCCTTCTCTATGATAAACTATGTAAATAGTTTGTAAGGTACCCTTGTATACTATATCACCTTGAGGACCTTGAATACGACTTTTTGCAACATCAAAAGGTATATTCATGCAAGATGCTAATGTACCTGACGCGAAACCAGCAAAGAACTAAAAGATATTTGTTGATTAAATCAATGATTAGATAGATGATTCTGTATAACATAGAGGCAACACACTCACCTTAATAAAGAAGTCTGAAATAGAATCTGTTTGTTTCTGTAATTTAGGAACAATGGAATTGTATATTCCAAAGTAAAATGCATTAAAAACACCATTTCTCATTATTGTGGCAGATAATCCTTTATTAAGCCCATTCAACCCTAAGCCATGTTGAGAAATAATTTGTCGAGTCACAGCAAAAGTAGATGGCATGTCACTGATACGTTTACGATTAGACTGCATTTGTACTTTAACTACTTCAAATGGATTAACCAAAATACCCTCAGTTATACCAGTTAAAAGGCCTGCATAATAATGCACCTGAATAAGGGCAATCGAATAATTAAAATTTGTTTGATTTAGAAGAATTCAGTTAAAAAAATTATAAGTAATATACATACCATTTGTTTTGATGTCTTATTGCTTAAAACCTTCTTATATTGTTCATAGGAAAAAAACTAAAAAAAAAAATAAAAATTTCTTCATTTATGTTTTCATACAAAAATTTTAGATTACATACTTTTACAGCTCTTTTGGGAGTTTCCATGATAACTGGTGGTAATATACCTTTCCAAAAAGCTGCAAGTCCCTCATTTTTATACATTTTTTTCATACAATCCCCAATTCCTATATATAATGTAAGATCAAAAAATTATGCGAACAATAAAAATCAAATACTGAAATCATTGGCATAACTATGTTACGAGGGCCAGGTATACCCTAGTCCCTATCTAGTTATGTCAATGACAAAATCATCAAAATAAAAATATGTTTAAATGTAATGATACACTGCCTGTATAATACACAGTATCATGTTGACTGATTTTGACCTGCAGTTGGAAGCGTGTTTTAATCAGATCCATAGGATGCATTATGGAAGCTTCTACAAAACCTGCAAAGCCTCCTGCTCCAATCTGTATAGCAGCTTCCTTAAAAAGGCTTGGTTGCATAGTTTCTTTGTGGGCCATATTTCAATTAGTTAATAAAAAATCATTACAATATTTGAAGGAAAATCTACTTTCCTTCTATTTTCACTAAACTTCCTAAAATAAATATAAGTCCTATTATAATGGATAACAGATTTTTTATCTATAATAAAACTATGTTATTAATTAGTCTATTCAATTTATATAACACTTTTTTGTATATTTTACTAGTATGTATTCTATGGTACATTTCAATTTAGGACCTACTAAGGTAAAAATTGTTACTTAAATAGATTAGCAGTACATGTTATGTATTTACAAATGATGTACATATATATAAATATAAAAGAAGCCTTTAATCTACAAATTTTAAGTAAAATACTTAGTTTAAAATTAGTATTACTGCAAAAAAAACAAAACTTAAAACTAAAAATAGTAAGTTAGTAATTGTGTAAAGTATATTGTGTACAAATTTTAAATAGAAGTAGAATTATTCTAATAAAAATGACGTTTTTCCGATATATAGTTCTACGATGATTTTGTAAAAAGTATCAAAATAGAATTACGTGTGACTATATGTATGAAATGATGCAGCAATATCCGCATATTATCTTATAGAATATTGCGTCATTAAGATTGTCGCGTTAATTACCGTTCAAATCTAATTTACACAGTTTTAAGTGAACATCGTTCATAATTATTATTTAACATATTCTGTTAAAATAATTAAATACTTGCATTAAATAATTACGACTAATTGATTTTAAAAACTTCAAATTTTTACTAAAAATTTATTTGAATTTCATACATCACATTTTTAATTAGTTACAATTATACTTAATTCCTTAAGCTTAATGCCTCAAGTATATAATTCATTTTAATTAATATATGCCCTTAAGTGATTTTGAACATAATAAATGTTCACAATAAATTTAAAATATTTATTCTCCCTTTCTATACTGTATATAATTGTGACTAGGCTACAACTATGTATTTATGATATATAAAAGTCTGTAAGGAACAAGGTATTGTAATATAGCTTATTTATATAGGAGACTTTAATATATCACAGATTCCGTATAGTTTGTCTCCTCCTGGTAAGTATTATAACAAATAAGTTACAGACTAATCATTTCTTTTTCCTACTATTGAAAATTTAAGTTACAACATATCAATTTAATTTTTCTATTTGAATAAACATTTATATTACTCTGTTACAGGATTAAAGCATTGCATTTCATTTGTTTCAATAATTAGAGTAGAAAAGCATAACAAGACCATGACAAAAACAGATATTTAGTATTGTTATTAAACAAATTCAAACTCAGGGTTAATGATATTAATTGCTTAATACATGGCAGTATACATAGAACACTTTTCCATTGAATTGCATCCATTATATGAAGTTTGTCCAATTGATTTAATCAACTTAAACAGACTTGTATCAGTCGTTGAAGTACTGCAGATAACAACGGTTTTCTTTGTCCACCTCGTGATAATCTGCTTCTTTGAAGTGAATCGTACTTGAAACCTTGAGATTTATTATCGCCGCCATTTTGTTATTATATATTCAAGTAATCTTACTGATTTCGAGTCTCATCGCAGAGAATACTACTAGTCATAGTTAAGTGAAGCGTCATGTTCGATAGTAGCTGTTAAGTTCAATCGTCTTTTTTTTCTTTCCGTTCTAGTGTTTGACGGGCATAGTTCTGTGACATGGAGGTTAGACGTAGAAAGGTTCGTTTTCAGTATTTTATTTTTGTTACAAACTATGTAGGGTATTTTAGTACAACATGCATTAGAATATTACTATTTCATTAAAAATGAATAATTAGCATAACCTGTATTTGTATGGAGCATAAAATATCTATATAAGAACACGCCAATAATAATTGTAAAGGAAACTTAAATATTGTATGTAACTCAATAAATAAATATATTATTTTTAATTCTTTATACGAACAAGATTCATGATCTTGTAATAAACCTAAAAAAGAAGAAATTAAATTATGTGTTTTAACAGTCAGCAACTTAGTTACGTAAGTTCTTAAGTAAAATCATTCGAATATTTAAAGATTTGAAAATTAACTTTTTGGCGGTTTTGTTTTAACTTGTTAACTTTGTATAATTCATATAAATTTTATAACCAATCTTTTCGTAATCCTCATTAATATGCTATGATGCAATAAAATTCTGTTTCCAATTAATTCTTTCGCTTACACTAAAATTTTATATAATACATTTTGTTAAAAATTAATTTAATTCTACGACTTTTTCGTGTATCTTTATTACAATATTGGATTTAAATATAATAAATTTGTATTCGACTTCTTGTTATTTATATATTTGAATAAAATATATCACGCTTATTGTGTACGTTAATTTAAAAATTTGTCTTGATTATAAAATGTTAATTTAATTTAATTACGAGTGGTTTTGACGCACCAGTTTTAAAAGCTTCGCGGTTCACGTGATGCGTGATGCTTTTATTTACCTCTCAAGTACTTTGCGTAAAAAAAACTAAAACTGCCGTTGTTGCTTGTATTACCACTTGTATTGCATTTTAAATGCAATATATTCCAGTAAGTATAAAATACAATGTATCTTTTATATTAAATTAGGTACTGTAAGTGTTATAATATGAATTTTTTTATATTTGAGGTTATATCTTTGTTTATGTTTATGTACAGTTATTTCCTGTATTAATTATTTTAGTTCTCTTATTTTTAAATCCTTTTCTATTAGTTTAATTCCAAAATGAATTAATGTAATTTTCATTCTTATGGAACTACACATTTGCAAAGATTGTTATAACCTACTACAATTTATTATACATTTTTACTTACAGTGCTGGACAGAAGTATTGGCACAGGCCACATTTTAGCATGGAATTGCTTACAAATTTGGAAAAAAATATCTTATTTCATTTAACCTTTATACTCATTAAAAATAATTGAAATACTAACATATAATTACGTTTCCAGTTAAGAACAGAAAATGAAGATACTTTTGAAACAAAACCAAAACCACGTTCTAAGAAAGGACATCCAGGTAGAAGATATTTTATGGTTGTGGCTTTGTTGGGAATTCTCTTCCTGGGATACATTGCGATAGCGTATGGTTTAAATCTTTTTTTATTAAATCACAATTAATGTCAATTATAAACATTTTCTTATCCTTTCAGATATGACTTGAAGCCAGTACGTCTTGGTAGCAAAGCAATTGATACATTGGCATTCTCTTTCAATTTGCAAAAACCATTTTATGTAGTGGTAATTGATGCAGGCTCCACTGGTAGTCGAGCCTTGGCCTTTAGTTTTCATGAATCAATTTTGGGTGGTAATTTAATTTTAGACAGTGAATTGTACACAGAAACAAAGCCTGGAGTCAGTGCTTATGCAGACAAGCCTAAAGATGCTGCTAAATCACTTATTGTATTGCTTGATAAGGTCAGAGAAGTTATCCCTCAACCTGAATGGCAGCATACACCTCTCACAATGAGAGCTACTGCTGGTTTGAGACTTCTTCCAGGACATAAAGCTCAAGAGATACTTCAAGAATGTAGGAAACTATTTGAAGACAGTGGTTTTCAGGTATAGATGGAAGATACACTTTTTGCTATTCAAATATCTGTACAAACATCTATCAAGTGCATTTATTCCATTGTGTATGTAGGTTTCCAAAAATTCAATTTCTATAATGGAAGGAACAGACGAGGGTATCTTCTCATGGTTCACTGTCAATTTCCTATTAGAAAGATTTAATACGCACAGTCCTGGCAGCACGGTTGCTGCATTGGATCTTGGTGGAGGTTCAACACAAGTGACTTTTTCACCTGATGCCAAACAGGTACAATGAAAAAAAAAGAAAAAATACAGAAAAATAACATGTTAAATAAATATTGACATATTACAATATATTCAGGAAAAGAAACTGGACGGACATGTATACTCTGTTAATATCTTCAATCATAACATGAGTGTTTATACGCACAGTTATTTGGGTATGGGTCTTATGGCTGCCAGAAAAGAGATACTAACTCATGGAATGAATTTGGAGAATGCAAATCCAAAAACTGTGATAGAAGTACGGTCAGAATGCATAAATCCCATAGTGTCCACTAAATGGAACTATGGAGGACTTAATTATCTTATTAAAGGGCCTGTTAATGGTACTCATAAATTAGTTAAAACACAAAATTTTGCGGGAGGGGAAGAGGACAGGCCAATCGTTAATTTTTCTGAATGTTTAAAAAACATTGAAAAATATGTTGGTAGGATTAAAAATAAACCTATAGGTTTAAAAGATCATGAAATTTACGCTTTCTCCTATTATTTTGACCGTGCCACGGAGGTAAGCAATTTTGAATGGAATTTATATGTTAGCAAAAAACTATAAAAGTATTGAATTTTAATTTATTATTATTTCAGGTTGCTCTAGTTGATCCCTTTGCTGGAGGAATTATTCCAGTGAGTGCGTTTTTGAAGCAAGCAAGGGAAGCCTGTGATTATCCAAATACCGATCAACCTTTTATTTGCCTTGATTTAACATTTATTTATATTCTCCTGCGTGATGGATTTGGATTGGAACCTACTACAAAACTTTATGTAAGGATCTTGATACAAATTTGTTTCTCAAACTTTTCAATTGGATTATTGATTTTTTATATCTGTCAAACAGCTTTACAAGAAAATCAACGGACATGAGTTAAGCTGGGCTCTTGGTGCTGCCTTTAATATAATTCAAAATGGTCTTTAACGCACCTGAAACCTAGATAAAGGAATTACAAATATTTTTGCACAAAATTAAAAAATTAGGACGTATTAATTGTTATACAATTATTTAATTGATCATGTGATTTAGGTAGAAACTCGTTTACTGATTTCATTTCACATTCAATTGCTTATTGTATATCTAATAAGGTAATAGTATTCTATAGAACAAATTTTATGATTACTTTAGGCATCGTGTTCTAACCAATTGAAATATTAATGAAAACGAGTGTGTTAAATTTTAATATCAGACGTGTACATACAAGACATGTACATAATTTCTAGGGACATACTTGTTAACTTATTTGTTTTAGTATTTTTGAATACAATTAATCTTGTACAATGCAAAGTACTTTCCTGTATTAAGAATATGTTACTACATTTTCTTAAGAATTTTCGGTAAGAACCAAGTTAGTATAATTATCAATTACATTGGAAATTTTGTAATCCTAATTTTTGACACTTTCTAATGTAATATTTTAGCTCAATGTAATTGACTTCGTTATTTTGTAAATGGTACAAATTCACTAATTTTATTTTTTAAAATATGTGTATTTAATGTTTACAATCATTTTTAATGTTTTACATCGAAGATAACTATAAAAATATATTTTTTTGATGTAACATTTTTCGGATTTTAAAGTGTAGCTTACAATGTAAGATCTGCAATTCTTTAAAAGATATCTGCAAACGTAACAAATACAATAGCGACTAGCATATTTCATCATTATAAAATATTATAATTTTGGATTGTTTTTACTAGAAGTTTCTCTAAATGTATTTGTAAGATATTATTAGATGTAAATATTTTTACATTAAAATATCATTGAAATATATGATGTGTTACATTTTAATTGTTTTCATTGGTCCCAACACGCATATAAGGAAAATAAAAAAATGAAAATTTCGACACTTTAACGGCGTAGTATGGTTCCTGAGGCATTTAGAAACAAATTTCTATTACGGCGCCATCTCTCCGGCGAACAGGGTGAACTACACGGTTTTGAAACAGTAGTTTCCTTCGTTCCCATACACTACCGCTAGATGGCGCCACGTGTGTCTTGTACGAGGTCATTTTGAATAATTAATTACACGTTTTGTGGATATATTTTGTGCACTTTTATGATTGAAGAATGGTCAACAATGCATTATTTACATGGTTCGATCATAAAAGTTCATAAACAATGTTCGGGTAACGAGTAATTAATTATTTTGTGCCAGCATTCCGATACGTACATGAGCCACCGGTGTCAATTCTACAGCGCATGCAAAGTGCAATATTTCGGCACTTTAACGACGTAGTATGGTTCCTGAGGCATTTAGAAACAAATTTCTATTAGGGTTTGATGCGTTTTGATGCCTAATAAAGCCAGAAAATCAATTTTTGTCGAATTCGGCCCAAAACGGTACAAGTGGCGCCATCTAGCGGCGAGCGGCGGAACTACGAAAAAATAAAATCTCGATTTTCTCGAAAACTAGGGACTTTCTCGCAATTCTGAGATATACAAATTGTTCCTTGTCGCCTACGGAATCGA